AAAAAAAAAAAAAACAAACCCAAATGACATTTTGGGTTACAGAGGCACTAATCAGGTTCAGGTCATATTAAAACAAGCAGTTCTTTTCTGTGTGGAGTCTGATATGTCCACCTCACCCACTGTTCAGAGACCAGGAGAAGCACGTGCTCATATGCTCCCTAACTTCACAGGTGGGAAGTACAGTGGCTGTGGCTGTAGCTGCTCCTTCTGATGCGGCCCCTAAGGGTGTGCATCTCTTTGGAAAGAGAAATAAACACACGCATGAGCACGTATGCACAGAAGTGCATATATGTGTGTACGCACATATGTGTATATGTACGTTTTAGTTAACAGTCAAAGGTCTTTGGGGGCTGAGCAAGACAGTGTTCTGCCTCAGAGTGATATGACCAACTACAAAGTTATTAGAACTCCTCATGAGGCTCAAATTAGCTCTGAAAGCCATTCTGAACAGAGTCCACTAGTGCTCCAAGGCCACATTGACATTTGCTGAAGCCCAGGTGTCAACCTGGCAGTTTAACAGGGAGGGTCAAAACACAGAAATGCCCCAGCCTTCAGGATCTGCCCTTGTGTCTGTGAGCAGAAATGCCATACATTCAGCCCCCAAGGCCCTTCCGTGCTCTCCTAGCCCAGCAGGTCCTCAGGGAGTAATTCTCTCTACTCAGGAGCTCAACAAGAAAAAGGAGACCTAACCCATTGGTTGGGTGGCCCGTGCTCCTCAAGACTGTCAAGGCCATGAGAAACGAGGCCCAGACCAGAGGAGGCTGGGGAGATGACAACAAAGTGTCATCCTGGATGGGATCCCGGAACAGGAAGTCATTAATGGAGACACTGGCGACATCCAGATGAAGGCTGGGGTTTGCCTAACACTACTCTACCAATGGCAGTTTCTCAACTGTGACAAAGGTCCTATGGTATTATGTTAACAATGGGGAGACTATATTCAGAAATTCTGTACTAATTTTGTAACCTTTCTGTAAACCTAAAATTATTGCAAAATACATTTACTGAAAGAAAACAAAAACACAAACAAAGCCAAGTAGTATGGGTGGGAAGGCCCCATCTAATGAGGGCAGGGCTTCTGTGCTTGGAGGAAACAGAATTACCTCGGGACAGACCCTGCAGCAGCCATGTGCATGGGGACTGCTACTGATGTGCTCTCTGGCACTTCCTAGGGCCTCTTCCACCTCCTTGGTTCCAGTTTGAAGGGAAATATGTTGCTTAACCATAAGGCTTTAGGAGTTACTTAAACAGAAAAATTTTTGGATCAATGTCACCAGCTGGGGCATTGAAGGGAGAAGGAAAAACCTTTTCGATGTCGAAGGGATGCCATGCCACTTGAGTTCCCAGACCTTTCTTCCTTCCCACTTTTAGGTGCAAAGCCTGAGGTGTGTGCAAAAGCCTGAACAGCTGGCACTTTGGGTGTCTATCCATGGATCCCCCTCGACTCCCAAGCTCTTCGGAACCTTTATTTTCCCCTCTGCAAAAACAGACTAATCTGATTTACAAACATCCTTTCCCCATGGCTAAAACACTAAAAAACTTTTAAAGAGCATGGCAATGTTACGGTTAACAGATAATGCGGGATCCAATGATCTTAGTATCTTCACGGTTATAAAACTCATCAGGAATCAACTATAATAGCCACACTTGCTCACCATGGAAGTCATCCAAGAAGAAAATTTAAATGTCTATTAGCATGTTTACAGAAGTTAAAATCTCTTTTTGTAATGTGGTCCAAACCTAACTGCTAATACATTATTGTATATGAAATAGATGTTTAAAGAAACTGCAGCGGGGCGCCTGGGTGGCGCAGTCGGTTAAGCGTCCGACTTCAGCCAGGTCACGATCTCGCGGTCCGTGAGTTCGAGCCCCGCGTCAGGCTCTGGGCTGATGGCTCAGAGCCTGGAGCCTGTTTCTGATTCTGTGTCTCCCTCTCTCTCTGCCCCTCCCCCGTTCATGCTCTGTCTCTCTCTGTCCCAAAAAAATAAATAAACGTTAAAAAAAAAAAAAGAAAAGAAACTGCAGCAATTTCAATTGTGACTTAATCTTTCTTTTTTATAGGATTAAACTGTAGAGCCCAAGGTCTAAAGAACTGACTGTAGTCTACAGGGGTAACTGCATTATTCTAAATGGAATTAGATTAACCTGTCTGGAGCTATTGACATGTTGTCTCTGTTACATACCCTACCAGCCTATGAATAACAACATAAAGCTTCCTCAGCACTAGGTCTGTTTCTCTGGGACAAAAATCCCCCATCTCTGAGTTGTGAGAAACATCAGATGACTTTTGAGACACCCTAAGGTAACTGAATACAGGAGGCCTTTCTGTCTCTCTAGTCATCAGACAGAAATCAGGGATGTCCCGAAGTCCCTGAATGTGGCTATCTGAGAGTAAGAAGGGGAAGTGCAAGTTGATCAGACTCTGAGCACCAAGGAAATGACTGATAAAAGCATTTCCTCTCCCTGTCTCTCCTCCCAAGCTCTCTGACCCTCTGGATTCACAGCCATTAGAAAAATTTCAAAATGGGGCGCCTGGGTGGCTCAGTCGGTTAAGTGTCTGACTTCAGCTCAGGTCATGATCTCATGGATCGTGGGTTCAAGCCCCACATCGGGCTCTATGCTGACAACTCAGAGGCTGGAGCCTGCTTCAGATTCTGTGTCTCCCTCTCTCTCTGCCCCTCCCCCACTCACCCTCTGTCTCTCTCTCTCTCTCTCTCTCTCTCAAAAATAAACATTAAAAAAAAGAAAGAATAATTTCAAAACAAAACCAAGTGGGGCTTATTTAGTTTTGACAAGCCAGCAGCTCCCACTCCACCCTGTATTTCCCTGCCCCTTCTCCTCTGCATGTTTGGTCACAACCTAACCTGGGATACAGCAAGGAGTCTGAGAGACCTGGCAGAATCCCACTTTTGATTCTCTTTGCTGAGCTTCCTTAGGAAAGCTGCTCTGTGCCTCAGTTTCTCAGCTATTAAGCGGGACAATGCTCCTACAAGGCCCAAATGAAGGAAGCAGATGAAGCCCCACATGGCCCTTGGTGGGCAGGCAGCCTTCCTAGCCCAGTGCTCTGGCTGACCAAGACTGTCCTGGCTCCCCCCCAAACAGCTGTAGAAGGGAGAGGTGTCCTTGCAGACATGCAGAAGGAGACATGACCTCTACGTATGTAAGAGATCCAGGCAAGGGGCCAAACCGTGCTTCTTGAGGATAGCGCAGGGAGAAGACGGTGGTAGTGCACCGAAGCCCAGGCTCAGAGATGCAGGGACAGCACACACCGACGATAATCTGCGTTTGTTTGGATGGGGGTGTGAGATTAACTGGCTGTGCTTTGATGCTTGTGTGCACTGTTAATGCATTACGGGTGAAACTGGGAAAGCAACAGTTATAGAAAGGAGAAGACAAGAGAAGTAGGGGAAAGAAGAGGGGAGGAGGAACGGGAGGAGGAGGAGCAGAATCAGGAGGAGCAGAAGCAGGAGAAGCAGATGTAGCAGGAGAAGAAACAGTAATAACAGGAGGGGAGGAGCAGGAGTTGGAGCAGCAGGAGGAGGAGCAGGAGGAGCAGTGGGAGGAGGAAGAGCAGGAAGAGGAGAAACAGATGTAGCAGGAGAAGAAACAGCAATAGCAGGAGGGGGAGGAGCAGCAGGAGGAGGGGGAGGAGGAGTTG